GTTTGTACTATTACTAATTTATTTCCAATATAGGGTCTTCAATTTAATAAATAGTAATATATTGCATATATTTCTTTCATGGTAGAACCCTATTTTCTTTGTGTAGGTGTCAGAGATTTAGACCCAAATTCTATAATTTTTTCTTCTAATTTAGTTGGTTCATATTTTGAGCCTTTTTCTCTAGCTTGTTTGGTTTTATAATATGCCAATTCTGGGTTTACTTGTTTTAAAACTGCACCTATTCCATTGTTAGATGCGTCAGTTTCTATAATAAGTTAATATCTTTTTTTTTGGGTATGTTAATTCTATCACATTTTTGACTTTTTCTTTCAATGTATCAAATGCTTTTTGGCATTCTTTTGTCTATTCATATTTAGCATTTTTCTTTAATAGTCTTTAATAGATTATAAATTGGTTCTGCAATTAATGCAAAGTTCTGAATATATCTTCTAAAATAATTTATAAATTCTGTAATTGATCATACTCCATATACATCTGTTGGTACTTTAAGTTTTTCTACTTCTTTAATTTTTACTTGGTTAGGGTGTATCTTTTCATATTCTACTAGGTGATTTAATATAAGTGTTTTTAATATTCAAAATTTACATTTATCAGATTTCAGACTCAGCCTGCTTTTTTAATGTATTCAAATACCATTTTGAGATGTTAAAAGTGTTCTTCAGGTGAATTACTTCCAATCGTCATATTATCCATATATATATATACAAAGAGTAAATCTCTAAAGATTTTATACATGTATCTCATCATATAAGCTGGTACTGTTTTTAATCCATTGAGTATATTCTATTCAAATTTGCCTTTTCCAAGGAAGAATACAGTAGTAAGGTGTTTGTTAACTCTCTTAATTTGAATTGATGATAAGCTGCCGTAAAGTCTAGTGTAGAGAATATTTTATATCTTTCTAGTTTTTGTAGCATAGTGTTAATATGTAGTATTTCATATAGATCATCTTCTAAATTTATGTTGAGTTTTGTATAGTCTACTGTGACTCTATAAGATCCATCTTTCTTTTGTATAATAACTAACAGTAATACCTATATAGCTTTCAATAGTCTAATAAATTCTTATTTTCTTAGTTCTTCGAATAATTTATTAGCTTGTTCTATTTTGTCTTCTGAGTATTGTCTTGGCATTCTTGCTTTATCCCTAAAAGATATTTCTTTTTCATCACACTTTAACTTTAGTATTATTGGTTCAAAGAAGTCTTTATTAAATGTTGTTGCTTTTTTATATTTTCTTCTAAATATATTTATATATTCCTTAAATAATGGTATTATTTTATTTCTATATTCTAAAGTTGTGTTTTTTAATAAAATATCAAGTTATTCTTTTTCAGTTTTCTCTTTTCCTTTGACTTGCATTTCCCTTCACTTATCTTTTTCTTTAGATAAAACCTTAGCATCATTAATCTCTATTATTTTGGTAACTTTTTCAAGATTACTAATATGATAATTTTCTGGTATTAGTATGGGTTTTTCCGTATAATTGATCATTCTTATTTTGTCATCATTGATTATGCCATTTTGTACGGCAATGCCATTTTGAGCTAAATATATTGGTGTTTGCATTAAATAATTTTCTTTTTGGGATATTCTAATCACAGTCCACGTATATGGTCTTAATTTATGTTTTTGTTTGGTATAACATGGTATTCCAGATCCTAGTGTGGGTATAATATGTCTTCTTATTTATTTGATATATGCGCCAAATCTTAATATACTTGGTTTGGATTATTTTTATTCAGTACTTTAGGTTGGTATTGTAATAATTCAATACTAAATATTTCTTTTTCTAGATATAATAATTCATTACTATGGGCAGACAACTTAAATAGGCAACCAAAAGTTGCAGGTATAGCTAGTCATACTCTCACTTGTAAAAAGTCAGAGAGCTTAAATAGGTAATCTTCTAGTTAGATTGCAGGCATGGTGGCTAGTGTAGAACTCAGGCAGACTACTTAAAATAGATAACCAAAAGTTGTACGTGTGGCTAGTTGTACCCTCATTATAATTGTAAACATTGTTAATTATCTAATAAAAAGCCTCAGCCATAGAGATCACCTTAACACTGAAAAAAAAAAATATATAATAATTTTATACCCAATAATTAAGACCCGGGTATTATTTACTATACCTATTAGCCTAATTTTTGAATAATATCTAGACATAACTATATAAATTTCATCCTGGTTTTAAAGAATTCTATAACTATTTTTACAACTTGCTATCTAACTATTGCATTAATTGAATTACTAATATTGGGGTATGCGGTCTTCATATAGTATTATAGCCCACAATTTGTAAAATTAAGTTATATAAAATACTACATCCATATACCCAGGCACTAATCAATTTAAAAAAAATAGGTTTGAATAAAATCTGGAGGTACTATAAAGCAGTGCTAAATAGTAAAGTCAAAAAGTCAATAAATGAAAATAATTTAGATCCATGATTAAAATGAACAATTTAGTACTGGAATTGCAATAATATTGACAACAATATACTAAGTAAGCTAATGCTATAAAAAACACATCAAAAATTTTACTTTAAAGGAAAAAAAAATTCACTAAGACTTCGCAAAAAAAAAAAAGTTCAAAATTAAATTCACATTCACAAATTCTGCATCTGTATGCCTAAATATTAAACAATAAAAAATAAAAGTTTAAATAAGATTCTTAGTACTTTAAAGCAGCACTGAATAAAAACCAAAGAATCAATACCTTATCTTCCATATAACTTATCTCTGATTCCAATTGATATTGCATTATCTACAGTTATTGGTATAGTATAATGACTAATTTGACACCAGAATTGCTATAACATTAAATTGAATAATCGAGTATAAGCTAATATCATCAAAATATCAAAAAATCTTCTAGCTTAGAGAAAAAAAAAAACAAAAAAAAAATCTCAAAAAAAAAAAAAAAAATGCTCTAAAAAAATTATCCTGCTATTAATTATACAAGTAGAAAAAGACAGAAATTGATTTTTGCTTCATTGATTCTGTATATTTTCTCTCTATCAATAACATGTATTTCCTGAAAACCTTCAAATCTTCTACATTAAAATCATCATTTTTTTGTTGCTCGAAAAAACCAACAAATTTTTTTAAACTATCTAATTCCTCTACAACAGGAACTTTAGATGATTCATTGTCTGTATTACTTGTATCACCTTCTTCATATTCTCATTGTTTATTTAATACAATATTCACAATTTGTATTTTGTCAAGCATATCCTTTGTAAGTATTTGAGAATTATTTAAATTGTTAAAGCAATTTATTTCATACTCAATTATCGGGTCTAACAAATTCATTGTTAGATCTATAATTAATTCATCATTTTTATCTTTTTCAACATCTACCAAGTCTTGCAGGGCAAGAGTAGCATCTTCAATTTTATCACCAGATAATTCTGTAAGAATTCCAGTCTTTATCCAACAATTCACAATAGTTGATGTTTCAACTTCATCTTATGATTCTGCAACGTAAGTTATCGCTTCTTTAATTAAATTAATAAAATTCATTAATACTATTCTATAGAAAAAAAATAGTAACACAGAAAAGTAGCAAAAAAAACAATTACTATTTAGCACTGCATATAGTCTGGGTACTATACCTAATCTAACGATTGAATTATACTGTTTTGGGAGGATATGCAGTACTATATAGTAGTGTTGAAACCAAACTAAAATTAAAAAAAAGCCCAATTAGCCAAAACGTATTAAGTAATGCATTACAGCACTAGTATTACCACCTAAAAAACTTCACTGCCCAATTAAATTCCAAAGATTATGTATAACACAAAAATTATAACAATTCAAAAATTGTTCACAAAATTTTATTGTACATACAGTACACTACCTTCTGCACTAAAAAAATTTTTTTTTTTGAAAAATTTTTATTAATAATCTAATTTAATAGTAAAACATGACCTTAATCCAATAGCAAAATTTTCTTAGTGAAGCTTTTTAGTTTAGTAACACTAGGCCTATTAATATGTTTTTACATTTTTAAATCCTCTTCTCTTTCAAATTAATTAATTATATATTGTATGTATTTTTTTTTGTACTTTGCTTTAAAGCTATTGATAATACCCACATCCATTGGTTGCAGGTAAGCAGTAGTGTGAGGTGGCAAAAACTCAAGCTTAATATTTGTTAAAGAAGTTTCAGAAGGTTCTGGAAGTCTATAAGGATGATTACGGCCTCGACAACCCTTGCTATCACAAGAAGCCTGCCCACAACCATGACCATGATCATGGCCATGACCACAACCACAACCACGAGAATTTTGTCTACTTTGTTTATTTATATTACTAGCACTTAACCTTGGATGACCATAGCCATGTCAAGTAGAGTTTCTAAAAGAGCTTGCATGACCATCTTCATTATCTGAATTTTTACTTTCTAATTCTTCTTTTTTACTATTTAATTCTTTGTCTGATTCTGACACATCTTCATTAGAATTATTATCTTCATCAGGTTCATTATTTTCATTAGGTTCATTAGGATTATAATGGCTTGATATGCCATCAACTATCAACAAAATATGCCAGTTTTCCAAGTGAAACTTTCTATCAAGCTCTATAAGCCATTCACTAAAGATATCTGACCACATCCAAGCCTTTAAATTTGACCAATATGTAACAGGTAAGGTATTATAGTTTAAACAGGATAGAGCATGAGGTTCAATAGATGATCCAATAACTATTGGCTTTAATTTTTTAGTTCCAGTTGTGTTTGCTATCAGCATTACAGTAATACATGCACAATCCCAAGAAAGTTAATTCAATAATTAAAACAATATTAAATTTTTTAAATCTTTGTTAAAAACAATATACAAATAATTTTTTATTTTATTATCTCTGGTTTAAACTTGTATACAATAAAGATCTTTTCTATCCTGATTGTGGTTGCAATGAGAGTGTTTGATGTGGTGCCTTCCGAAAGAATAGCCCTGTCTCATCTGTATTAAAAACATTTTCTAATAGATAATCTTTTATTATTTTATGAAATTTTATTCTTTGTTCTGGAAGTATTTCCATCGGTATACTGTTGGCTTCTCTGTATAACCAATAGCTTTGTAGATTATTCTGTTTTTTGAACTTATAGACCCAACTATTAGAAAATTTTAAAGCACTATCTGGCAAACCTAATGCCTGGGCAAAATATGCAGCCTTTTCTTTAATGATTAAATTTGTCAAGAATATTTGACCACTTATAACCTGCTCAACCCAAAGTTTCATAGTCTTATCTAATAATGGAAACATAACTTTTTTGTGACGAAAAGTTGTCATGTTAGTTTTGTTATTGTCAATTGCCAACTATTTTTTTTTTTCTTTTAAAATTTTTGAAATTGTTGAGCGATTAATATTCAAACTTGAATTTTTTTGATTAAAACAATTTACGATATTTGATTGTGTTTCATGTGAAAACTTATTGCTATACTCGCAAATTTCACGCTTTAAACTATTACTAATTGCCATTTTTGCTCTTTTGGTTGACATTGTAAAATTAAAAGTAAAAAAAAACTCTATAGCAAATTTAAACCTTAACCAAGATAAAGCCTTGACCATGACGAAGCCTTGATTCTGAACATGAAAAAACCTTCAGCTTAATCATGATAAAACCTTAGCTCTGAACACGGTAAAACCTTGGCTCTAAACACAGTGAAACCTTGACTCTGAATACAGCTAAACTTTAACCTTGACTATGGTGAACTCTTGATCTTGAAACCATAGCAAAACCTTGACCTTGACCCTGGCGAAACAACCTTGATCATGGTGAAACCTTGACCTTGACTGCAACGAAACCTTGACCTTGACTACAACAAAACCTTGACCACGGAGATGTACTTTGCTTTGAAAATTTGACTGCAGTAAAATTTGAATCTGAATTTTTATAGCAATAGCTTGAAACATAAAAAAAAATCTTGATTATAAAGAATTATATATAGTAAATTTAACTGTATTTACAGAAAACTTGAACACAGTAAATTTGATTAAGGCCAAGATAAAATTGAACACAGAAACTGACTATGTAAAGCTTAGTTGTTGCAAAAACTTCTAAGCATGCAAAAAATTTTTTTTTGCAAATTTATAAGAATTTATCTGGCCAATTATAGTTAAATAATTATAGCCAATAAAATTGTACTCATGTGATTTAATTATACATAGATTTAATTGTGATTTTTTAAAGAGGTAATTTAATTAATAAATTAGTATAAACCTATTTAAAAAAAGTGTGATAGTAATTGTAATATGATTGTGATTATATAGAGGTATTTTTATATAATATAGACAAACAAATGTGTTTGTGTGATTGTATAGAATTTGTGATTACATAGGAGGTGATTGTAGGGAAGGATAACTATATTAACTTACTTAATATAAATTTTACTTAATATTAATATTAATTTATCTAATATTAACTAACCTAACATTAGCTTATATTAACTTATATTAACTTACTTAATATTAGCTTACAAAACCTCTTAACATTAATATTAATATTAATGTTAAATTAGCTTAACTCATATCGATTTAATTATACAATTATGTGTTATATATCTATTTATTTATAAATATATATAATTATATACTATATTTATTTATTTTATTTATTTATTTTTTTTTTACTGAAAAATTTTTCAGTGTATTATTTTTATTTTTTTTTTATGATTCTAAGGCTATTAATTAGATTATAAAGCTACAAAATCAGTGAGCAATTCTCACACTCATATATATTTTTTAAGTTTTTTTTTATAATTTCAAGACTATTTTTTTTTTTTTTTTTTTTTTTTAACCAATGTCACGGTGCTAACGCTTTATTGTGTTTTTCAATGTCTTATTACAAATATTGTATAACATTTTCTAGTACATCGA